GCCAAAGGAGAGAAGATTCCGCAGATCATTATCATCATTACAACTTATTTAGCCTTGGGTTTCAGGGAACACTGAGAGTTTATACTAGTAATGTGAAAGCATGCACTGACTACAAGACGATCCGAGTCTCTACACAATGTACCACACGTTCCGTAATCGATACGGTTCTCAGCAAATTCAAGATCTCGTGCAGAGACACGAACCTCTTTGAACTGTGGATGGAGGTGAGTTTACTGAGGAGGGCACGTAGCAAGAAAGAATGAAGAGCTGCGCGTTTAGGTCACCACCAAGGCCAATGGAAAAGCGGTACGGACAATCCTGCGGTTAGACCATTCCGCTAGACCATTAGAATTGCAGAGGTAAATGGTGTAATGGAAAGCCTTTTCATTTTCTTTATAAATTCTATCACAGGTGTCATCCAGCGAACATGTCGCGGTTTATGCTCCACATGACATCAGAAGGAACGTTGGTCAGGGTGCATGATCATAACATTTCTCCTCAGGTTGGGATCTACAATTTCAATATGGTCTTGCTCTAAAAAAATTAAATCATATTTCTCCTAAAAATATGGACGTATATGTGGAAGCGTTCGACCATTAAATGGCCAACGGAGCGGGGATCATATTTCAGCGCACAAGAGGTGTAAGAGCTATAAGCTATGGTCGTCCATTTCACACTATTAAAGGACATGAATAGTCGCTGTCACTATCCCGCACGCTTCCAAATATCTACGTTCTTGACATCTCGAACTGTTTATTTAAGCGAAAATCAGTCCGCAACCGTTTGCGGTTCGTAAATGCCCGTTCACGGGCTTTTTTCGGTTTATCGAACAAGTTTATTCTAATGCGATTTGGTTCACATCCATGATATATGGGAGTGGAACTAGCCGCATTATCCATATTCATTCATGGATCACGATAGCGTGGAGTCTCTTGAAGTTTTTAAAACTTGCTGCAGTACAGTCTACATTTGAAGGCGCAAAGTAAACCACAAGAAGAGCTGTAAATGTGTAAGAAAGTGCTACAAACATATTGACTCCTTGAAAGACTTTTGTGTAGATAACATTCATGTGGGCTCGGGGAAGGAGAATATTTCCACCGGCGGCCTCGTGAAAGTGATAGTTGTTGACGATGGCTTTCTTTCATTACAGCACCTGATGATTGCCC